TATGACGTCCTCGCGCAATTGGGTTCACGTTTTCGTTCCAGTTTCCCAACCTCGTTCATCTTAATTGCTTGACAGAGCACTGGGAATGAAGATACTACTACGAGCAGACAAAGGGAGAAAGTGAGGTTAAAATATGGATTTTACTAAGTTTGACGATCTTTTGATGGGAATCCTCCAGCACTGTGAACAAGTGGAACCGTTTTTAGATGCAATCTTCAGCTTTTTAGCGCGCAGGACTGACTTCTTTCTAGTGATGCACAATAGAGATGACAAAGTGGGATTCGCTCCAGGTGTAGCGGAAAAGATGGTTCTAAAGGTATGGACGTTTCATCTAACCGCTACATGGTTGAATCTTCAGCAAATATTCCATAGAACGAAGATTTTAAAGAATAATGAACTTCCATGTATGCGCAAAATATGTTAATATATGACATTTTTTCGCGATTTCTGAAAGTTAATACAAGGTACATCCTGTATAAGCAAGTGATATTGTGTAGGAAGCCTACGTGAATATGTTTTGGGTGAAAATGGAATTGAGGTGAAAATACATTCAAACTAGATTGAATTGCATTCGAAATCATTTTGTACTTGATCGGTGTTAGTTTTTACCTCTTGACAGGTTTTGAAATTGCCTGCTATCACATCTGATATTAAATGGATAAATTTAATTGAATAAATAATAGTAATACGACCGAATGAAGTCGAATTCCGGCTGTAATCATACAAGTGATACTTTAAATGATCACTACAATTACAGACAGAATTGGATGAGAGGAAGGCCTGAGAAGCAAAGTTGCCATCATTCTACGTTTTCTTGAATATCATTAGTTAACTCATTGAAATGTGCAACAACAGCATGTGCACTTGATGTGCACTGTCCAGTTTCAAGTATGACACTGACACTGTCAGCATGACACTATCAAAGTAGTGCTCAAATCAGGATGGTGAGAACCAATCATGTTAAAGGATAGATTAAGTTAAGTATTTCAGTAATCAATGACAAGCGATAGCTGGATTTGTTGGAAGTCATCAAAAAGTGTTAATTTGAATGTTGTCAGGTTTATTGACGAATGAGTGAGGAGTTGTATACTAAATAGTGCTGATATTGGGATTTAGGTAATACAGCCAGAATGAAAAAGGGAAGTCTATACAGGGTCCTTCCATGTGTAGATTGCTGTTGTTGTTTTTGTTGTTGTTTTTTAGAATTAGATATACTTGTAGATCACACTATCTGGTGGATATAAGCTTATTTTCTATTTGATGCCTCAAAAAGATTCAAAGTGGTCTTTACTCCTTTCAAATAACTTACATGTACAGAAAAGATCATGTACTGTGGTTGCAAAGTCCCTTCTCCCTTTCCTCTTTACTTCATGATTGTATTTTAACAGTAACTTAAAAAGTCAACTTATTGAATGTCAGGATTATCTGTATTACTTGATTGATATCTTTAGAATAGTTTCAGGTGAGGCTAATAAGTGGATTGAAATTAAGATGTTTTTATTTAAAGTATAGGTGTTCCAATCCCAAAGATTATTCACTTCTTTATTTTGGTTCCAATCTGCTAAAAACAGCTTACATGGCAGAAATGTCTATTCTGAGGTTTTCAGAGTACTTTTGTGAATACCTGAACAAATTCGCTGTCTATAAAACTGCAATATGCATTGAAGAGGACAGAATCATCTCATGGAATGGAGTTTATTTATTGGTTTTAATTTAGCACTATGGGCATTGAAACACCATTGCGACTTATTAGGTTGAAAGTCATGGGTTCTTAATCCAATCTTTTTATGTATCCATAGACTTTAACCCTGGGAAAATTATTGTGGGTTACACTCACAATATATGTATGTATATGAGTATGTATAAAGTAGGTGATTGCTATGCCTTGTTGTTCTGCAAATGATGTCCCAAATTAAGGCAACCATTGCTTAACAGACAAGTCACATTCCCTCACCAATGTGATTTGGTTATCAGTGACCTAGCTCCAAAAAGTCTGTCACAAAAGTTTTCAGCTCTTCATCTCTGTTGTCTGATCACATACACATTCCATGCTTGTGACTCGTCCAGAAATGTTCTAAGATACTTCGACATAGATGCTTTTTAGAGGCCTTGAATGTCAGGAGATATTAAAAAAAAAAAAACCTAAAAAGGTAACTAGGTAGGGAGAGATCTCACAACCTGTTTATGATGTGTGTAATAGCTTTAGAACCTGACTGTTTCCATTTTGAGAATAATGGGAAACAGATGTTAATAAAATTATTTTGTGGCATGTAAATTCATTTTAGAGAGAAGTAACAATTTAAGATACAGGAGTATAGCCAAGGACAAATGTATGCCTGCCTCCTACTTTTGTGGAATAATTTCTCTGGGTTTTGGTTTGACAAAAAATGTTATGTTTTTCATGCCCAGTAAATAAGCAATTTCCTTTAAAAATTATCAGTTAACCTTTAATCGTAGGTTTTTTCCTTGCCATCATGAGTTAACTGATGTAGTGTGTGATGATAATAGATTTTATTTAACATGAATTAGTTAAGAGTTTCTGTTTCTTATACAGATCTTCAAGACTCATCAACAGATTGTCACTGGAAATCAAACAGGAGCTAAAAAACAAGCACATGGAAAGATATCAGGAAAAGGGAAGCAAAAATGTGCTGACATAGAGAGAGCAACTGATAGAGCTTCAGCTGCAAATGAAAACGTGAGTTGCTACTTATTTGTCACCTGCAGTCCTGGGTCACACAAAGGGTGTTGTCCTAGCTACTGTTAAATGTAATATACCACAGTCCAAAGGAGGCTTTTGGGTGAGTGAAATGTTCATAGAGGCTTCTGAGTGCTGTAATTTTAAGTGCGTTTAAAATACAAATTGGTGTTCAACTTTCTGGTACAATTATTGACAAAATGTCATCGTTTATACAGCTCAATACCTTACTCAAAGTAATAGCATCCATAATCCTTTACATCCTAACGCAACAGTATACATATTAATGACTGTGAATATATGGAAATCATTTACCAGCCTACGAACTGCAGATCAAGGAATTATTATAGAAACGATCTTCACAGTAATGAATACTACATAAGCAGCCGTGAAAATAAGAAGCCAACTGGGAGCTGGTCATTATTTTTGTTTGTAATAAACCCATGAACTGAGAAATCAATGACTGCAGGAGTTTCATTTAGGTTTGGAGCAGGAGGGTATGTGGATTTGCCACCGGGCATACTTAAAGCAAGGCCCTTTGGGCCTTGCCTCTTAGGGGGGTCTGTGGGCATGCTCCCCCTGACAAATTTGAAATTCTCAAGTGACAGAGATGCATTTTCCTGCATTTTAGAGCAGAAACTGACATGCTTCAAGTGCCAATTAGGACATTATTTCTTTCCATGATAGTCTTGATTTGGTGAATTAATCAACAGGTAAATTAGCTTTCTAAAGCAAATCCATAATCTTGTACATATTAAATTTTCAGAATAGCTTGCCTTTCAACAGAAAGTGTCATAAATGATGACAGAAGGTGTGGTTTCTGTTCATGTAAAGTGGGAAAAAGTGTTCACAAGTTTTCAAATTGTTTTTTGTGTCAGGGGTATACAAATTCTACTCAAAGTATAACCAACAAAAATGTCATAGTGTTAGAATATAATGTTTGATAATTTCATACTGATGGGTTTGCTAACAAACTCCTCAACTTATTAAGATCTTTCTTTGCAAGTTTTCTGTCAATTAGGCAAACAGAGTCATGCTTTCAATAACAGAGGAAATTTTTATTTCAATGTGGGAAAGCTGGTAGCTTCCACAGTTAGATGGATTTTTCTCATCACTTGGAAAAGATTCAAGATGTCAAAAGCAATTCAGTGCTATTGTAAGTTTTTGGCTAGTTTTCTGTGACCAAAGGAACTACTCTGTGTTCAACTTCAGTTGTATGTTATGGAGAAGTGAAACATGAGCCAACCAGAAAGAAATCAATCACATGCTAGGCAACCACTTGAAAGCATGGTCAAAGTGATAACAATCCTTCACTCAATTTACTTTCTTTAGGAAAGATAAATTTCTTCCTGTTTTACAACAAGTATTTTATTCTTGTGACCTTCAGGTTTGATTTGGGGTGATAATATTAGGATGTTTGTAACTCTCTGGGGCTAAAGGGTTGATGGAATTGTAGAAGTCTAAGAGAAAAAAATCAATTTTGGCACAGAAGATGCAAGGATTACCACTTATTTTGAAAAATACTGTCTGAGTGAGGATTTGCAGGAGTAGATAAAAGGAGAAATGGAAGAGGGAGTGTCAATATTTCAAACTTAAAACCCTTTTTGATTTATTTTTTTTACATAAATAATCAGATTGCCACATTAAGATATGTATATCACACCAATCAGATTGCCACATTAGGGTATGTGTCTCACATCAATCATATCATGGCATTTGGATATCATGGACCAATCACAGTGTTGGGTATTTTTTCTTGTAAATGATGTCATGGAATCAGAGGGCTGTGCACAAAGAATGACATTAACCAGAAATTTGAGCTCATTTGATAAGTGTTATTATTTTGGCCTCTGTAAGAGCCTCGTTGGGTGAAGGTGAGATTTCTTGGGATTCAAAAGGTTCACATTTATTGTTATTGTACCATTTTAAAGTTGAGATGTGTTTTTCCACTCCTTTTCCCACAATGCACATGTAAACAACTTACATTCCATCATGTGCTATGAAAACAACGTCCAAAGTCCAATCAGAATATACCCAATCATTGCACCACATGAACATTCGCAAATTTTTTACATGCTTGAATTAAATTCTACCAATTAAATTCCATTTTGCCACATTAGACTTCGCTCCATCACAATAATTTTGATTTTCTTTGAGAGGAACAGCTGTAAGTGTAGTCTCTTTTGCAACTGTTATTTGGTTGCATCATGCAATGGCTCTCTCTCCAATGGGGGATAGACAAGACCAAACAGCGGCTGCAAAGGAGACTACAGCAAGCGGGGTACCAATGTATTTTATTTTTGCCCCAAAGTATTTAGACAATAGACCACAAAATACCAGTGTGAATTTAGATAAACTATGTTTTTCCTCTTTTCTCTAAGGTAATATTTTCGTTCTTTTAAAAGTTATAAAAACATTAGGAACACAAAGTGTCCAATCTCAACTCACCCAGCTAAAAAAAAAACTCTTGCATGCTATGGATGCCAATGTTTTGTTAAAGAGAGAAAAATGGCAATTTTTTTCCAAGGAGGATAGAGCATCCAAACAGAGGAGATGTTAAAGCTGAATATTAATTTTCTATCTCTGTAGACAAGTCTATCTGCTCCTATGGCCTCATCTGATACAGATATATCTCCAGCAATCACTTCATGTGAGGTAGAAACATCACCCACCAGTGACAAGGGCCACACCCAACTTCCTGCATGTACTACTGAAAAGACATTGAGTGCTGCTTCAACATCTAGTTCCAAGCCAACAAGGTGTATCAATTATTGTGTTTCTTGATTTACTTATTGTTTTTCATCTTTTTTTTTGCTTCTTGCTAATTGTTTGTTGCCTTGTAAAGCTTTACATGAACAAAATTTGGTAGGACATGTCTTAAGTACACATACACACTCGTCCTCAATTCTACACAGAAACCTTTTTTTCTGTGCTGTTTTGTTTGCTGTACTGGTCATCAAGGCAGATTTCAGGCAAAATTCAGCTAAGCCAGAGCTGGAAATCATGAGTCTGGGAATGTGATTATATGGTCGTGAGCAATGGGTGGGTGGTATTTTTATATGTCTTCCCTCCCTAAACTGTTACTGTGCTCTTTTGCTTCTGGAAGTGCTGTGGTAAAATGAAATGTATTTTGTTTGTTTGTTTTTTGGTTCATATGTTTGTTTGTATGTTCTATGCAAACCTGCATGCTAGGTGATGATTCTTGCAGTATGATTGTCTCTCTAACCATGAGGAGAATCAGCTAACACATCAGAGACTAAACTAATTTTAATTTTTTCAGCCTCACTCAAGTAAGTGAAGACGTAACAAGCAGTGAGAGCAAGGGTCTGGTTCCTGGCAAGACTGCTGATTGTTACAATGGAGCTGTTCTTGAGAAGTATGCATGGTCACAAACTATAACTGATATTGAAATAAAAATCCCTGTGCCATGCTCAGTAACAAAAGGTCGGGATGTTGGTGTGGAAATTAAGAGCTCCCATTTGAAAGTTTGGTTAAAGAATGGAATCCCACCAGATTCAGGTAAATGTATGTTGTAGGGGAAATTACTTAATGCCACTTGGTGAAAGGCCCAAAGATTTTGAGGAAAAGCCCTTAAACGCTCTCCACAGTGATAAGACACTGTTCTGAAAAAAGGCCAATGATGCTCTTTAATTTCAAATAAATTGTTTTTTCCTTCAGATCATTTTAAAAGAGTGCAATGGTATTTTGATAAAGTGGATATACGTATCAATAGAAGCAGAAAGCTAGATTTGGTTGCATCCTTCCTAGTTTCTGCTTTTTATATGAAAATGATTCTTTTGTCTTATTTGTCAAATATATCCTCAAATCGACAAAGAACAAGCGTACACCCATTTTAAATCTGAGATAGTTTCGGGATAACCTGACGGCATGACCTTGATTCATTGGTCATTTCCAACAGACAGCATTATTCTTGTTGATGGAAAACTTCAGTGGCCGATAAAATGCGAAGATTCTATGTGGTTGTTGGAGGCTGGGAAACAGATCATTGTCAGCCTGGACAAAGTAGAGGAGAGGTTTTGGACAACTGTTTTGGAAGGAGATACCGAAATTGACAAGACTAAGGTTGACACAACACGAGACATAAGTGAATTTGATGAACAAACTCAGAGTGATTTTCAGCACGTTATGTATGACCATCATCAAAAACTTCAGGGCAAACCAACTAGTCAGGAAATGGTATGTACAGTATGAATTCAAATTTTCCTTTGGTTGAATCATTTTTTTAATTTCAAGTCAATTAAATTTGTGTTAATCTGGCTCACTTTATATTGGTGTGAAATAAGGAAAATAATGATGCTAATTCGAAAATCTCTAAACCAAAGGAATAATTGAACCTGTTACGCAGTCATCTTATGTATTTTAATAGCGTTAGGTTTGCTTCATGAAGTAGAGATACTTTGCCGAGTCGCCAATTTATTCGTGATTAAAGTGATTAAAAAGAAGTTGAACAAAGAGAGCTGACAATAAGGGCAGGTTAAGTTTTCTTCCTACCCCCC